AATATAATGTGAGGCACATACCTCACTTTACATTTTCTAACAGCTCACATTAATAAAATTAGAAACTAGTAACTAATTTTAATAATACATTTTATTTAAAACAATATCTATAAATATTATTATTCTGAGTTATAACCAATATTAAAGATATTTCAATTAAAAAAGTTTTTGGTATGAAGTCTTTGAAATCTGTGTGTGTTTCACATGGACAACAAATCCTAGTGTGGGCTAGGTTATTTCAAGTACTCCATAGGTATATGTATCTGGTGGCCAGTGCTAAGCAATGTGATTGTAGCTAACTACATCTGGAAATTTAGCTGTGTAAATCTGCATGGGAGAATTTCAAGAATGCTTGGAGACTTAGAATGTCTCAAACCCCAACATGCTACTTCACCAATATTGACCTACAATATAATATTCCTAACACGGCCCCAACTGTACTTCTTATTTCTGACATCAGTTCTATGATATTAAAAAAGTCTGCATATCTCAAAAAAAAAAAAAAAAAGTCTGCATACAAAGGGATATTCCTGGACATGGGCTGGGTGAGTTCTGTGTCCTGGGAAAGAGTAACTTCTCCATGATTTTAAAGAAGACCTACTCAAAGGCCAACTTCCTTGATGCTGGTTTTGTATGTAGGAGTTTCCATGAGGGGAGTATAATTGCTTAGGTAAACATTTATTGTTTAATCACTCTTACATATTCTTACAATTAGAATTTATGTTCCTGTATTAGTGTTTCTCAACAGAGAATTATCAGAATCATGTAGGAGCAAGGGACTATAGGAGTCATAACCTTCAGGATGGCTCTTGGGCAGATCGATATTCCAAATTCCTACAAGGCCTTGTGATGGGCAGCTGGGGTTGAGAACTGCCACTGGGAGATGAGAATGGGCATGAAGGTAGTAATTGTCATGAGTGATGGTTTGTTGGCCTGGTTCTGGAAAATGGAGAGAGAGAGAGAAAATTTTATAGCTCAAAGGTAGATAGAGCAGAGTGGAAAGGCCAAAAAAAGACACTTTAGAGGGTAAATCCAGAAATGATTTATTACCATCCTGACAAAAACATCTAGACATTACATAGGTAGGGGTTATATCATCTCTCTTCTGGAACATAGTCAACATTTAGAAAAAAAATTATTTGCAGGGTGCCTTGGTGGCTCAGTCTGTTAAGTTCAGATCATGGTCTCACCGTGTCATGAGTTCGAGCATTGCATTGGGCTCTGCTTTGACAGCAGGGAGCCTGCTTGGGGATTCTCTTTCTCCTCTCTCTTTGACCTCCCCTGCTCATGCTATCTCTGTTTCTCTCAAAAATAAATTAATAAAAAAATTTTAAATTAAAAAAAGAAAGAAACAAATTATTTGCTACATCTCTACTCAAACCCACTCTGTTTTCCTACTTTTGGGAGACCCTCCAAAAAAGGATTCAATTGCAAATGAAACGTGCAATTTTATGGTCTGTGGATGAAGAAGAAAGATGTGATTTTAGAAATGTGAGATATTGTAGAGCATGATGTTTCTTGTTAATATTAAAAAAAATGGAAACTTCATATCATCTACTAATGGGATTACTTAGGCAAAGGACAATTAGATATTTCCCCCTCAGTATTATTACAATGAGCATAAATTATCATCCTATAATTAAATATCAGTATATGTCCACCTTTTAGATGCTTAACAAAAAAGCATTAGTAAGAATATATGGGACTATTTTTGGCCGCATGCCCTCTGCTCCATCTTGCCCAGAACTTGGGCTTTGTATGTGTAGACTGGTTTTCCAATCCGAGCTCACCCTCTTTGCCCATTGCCAGCTATGAACTGACCTGATGATGATTATCCTTCTGAGAAAGGGAAATTCGGAATTATAGTACTTGAAAAGGGACGTGGGTGGCTCAGTTGGTTAAGCGTCAGACTCTTGATTTTGACTCAGGTCCTGATCTCGGGGTAGTGGGATTGAGCCCCACGTTGGGCTTTGTGCTAACCTTGTAGAGCCTGCTTGAGTTTTCTCTCTCCCTCTGTCTCTTCCCCTTGACTCCCTCAAAATAGTACTTGAAGAGGGAGAGCGGTAGAGAACCACTCTGTGTGTGTGTGTGTGTGTGTGTGTGTGAGTGGAATCCCAGTTTAGCTGATTCAAGTATGTTCAGTCTAGGACTCAGTGCATGTCTGAGGATTGGTGGTTTAAAGGAGTCCAAAATGAATTAACTTTTTAGTGACAAAACTGACACAGAAGTTTAGGTTTTCTGATATGTCAGTGATGTGGTCAATATCTTAGCAGTTGGACAGAGATCACATTTTTAAAAAACCTAGTTTCCTTTAAATATTGGGTGAAAATTTAAAAAATACTTTCGAGCCATCGGATTAAGGAGTTAAATCATATCAATGAAATCCCATATTAAATTCAAACTTGGCTAAGCTCTTTGTAGCTGCCATTTGGTTAGCTCATGTATTGCATTTCCATTTAAGAAAAAAGTAAGATGACCCCTTGGAAAGGGTTAATTCCAA